ACCTCGTGGTGTTCGGACCGACCAGGGCCCCTGGACATTCCGATGGTTTTGGATTTTTTCCAGGAGGGGGCAGATAGGGGACTCTCGATCAGCACCTTGAAAGTACAGGCTTCTGCTTTGAGTATTTTTTTGCAGTGCTCTTTGCAACAAAATCCCTTCGTAGTTGATTTTTTCAGATCTCTCTCCAGGGCTAGGCCTGCTAAGGTGGGAGGTTGTCCGAGTTGGGATCTATCTCTGGTCCTAAGGGCTTTGGTCCGAGAACCTTTTGAGCCTTTAGAGGAGTCAGCTTTCAAGTTTTTAACTTTAAAGATAGTTTTTTTGGTAGCAATCACATCGGCCCGTAGGGTGAGTGAGCTACAGGCGCTCTCTATTAGGGAGCCTTATTTGACCATTCTTAAGGACAGGGTTGTGCTTAGGACTGATCCGGGATTCCTTCCTAAAGTAGCCTCCTCTTTTCACAGGTCGCAGGATATTGTTCTGCCGACCTTTTGTTTCTTCCTCTGAAGGTAAAGAGGAAGAAAAGCTAGGTTTGCTGGATGTAAAGAGGAGTCTTATAATTTATTTAGACAGGTCCAGGGAATTTAGGAAGTCGGATTCCCTTTTTGTTTTCAGGGCAGAGAAGGGGGTTGGCAGCATCTAAAGCCACGATAGGCAGGTGGATTAGGCTGGCAATTGGGGAATCTTACAAGGTCTTGGGGATTCCGCCTCCTTTTGTTAAGGCCCACTCAACTAGATCCTTGGCAGCGTCCTGGGCGGAGAGAGCCGGGGCTTCGCCGGAGGAAATCTGTAAGGCAGCCACTTGGTCGAGGTTTTCTACCTTCGTGAAGCATTATCGCTTGGATATCCTGTCAGATAAGGAACAGGCGTTCGGACGCAAGGTCCTCCAGGCGGTGGACCCACCCTAAGGGGGTAAGTTCTCGTTTATCGTCTCAGATGGCTGTCCTGGAAGACGTAGGGAGAAAACCAGAGTTAGACTTACCGGTAACTCCTTTTCTACGAGTCTCCCAGGACAGCCGGTAATTCCCACCCTTCTAATGTACAACCGAGAGAGTTAAGGTTGACTGCATGAAAGTGTATTTACCTATATTTGTGTCTTTCAGTGGCTTCCGCTAGTTCTCTTTTAATAACTGGATGTGAGGCCCGGAGGCCCGCCTTTTAAAGGCATGGGGGATGGTGTGTTTTTCTGATCCGGAGGGAGGAGCCCAAGGTCTCAGATGGCTGTCCTGGAAGACTCGTAGAAAAGGAGTTACCGGTAAGTCTAACTCTGGTTTTTTGTGCATGTTTGGTGGGGAGAAGGGGGGAAGCACCTCTCTATTGAAATGAATTGAAAAAGCATCAAAAATGCACCTGTGGTTGTGTTTTTGATGTGTTCGAGTCACGTCCTTTTTTTTGGAAAATGCACTGAGAATGCATTAAACCACATCAAAAACACATATCCTTTTTACAATGGAGCAGTGTGAAAGTAGCCTTAGAATGTTGTTTAACCCCTTGATGCCAACATAAACACTTATGCGGCCTCACAGAACTGGGCTTTTTTCTGTGGAGCCACATATTTGTGTACTTGTTTTCCACAGCGTGCTCCCAGCACAAAGATCACGGTGTCACTGAGAGCACTGGGTCTTGTTCTAACGATCGGGGTCCAATGATCGCTGTGATAGCCTCTAATTGGCTATCGCAGTGATCAGTCACTGTACAGCCTGGCCCCCTTGTTTTTTTTTTTTTTTTTCCCTCTGTGAATGGAGCAGAGAGATACTTTGTATCTCTAACTCGCGGTATAGAGGGAAAAAAAAATGTTTGTTAAAAAAAAGATATATATAAAAAAGAAAAAAAATGCCTAGATCAAGGTTTGATCTAGTTCAGTGCCAAGATAAGTGTTTGGGTCAAGGTTAGGGTCAAAGGTCAGGATTAAAAAAAAAACAAAAAACAAAATGTGCGCTATTGCTTCTAGGCTGTACTACGGGTACAAACAAATAATATACACATATATGGTATCGCTGCGGTTGTCAAGAGCTGGAAAATTTATTCTAAGTTGTTTTTTGGTGGTAGGTTATGGAAGTAACAATAAACACACAGCTAAATAAAAAAAAATTTTTTATACTATTTTGTGCCAGTTTTCCTTTGATGATGATGATAATAATAAAAAAAAAAAAATTCAGGGTATATCCATTACCATTTACCACCAAATGAAAGCCCAATTTGTCCTGGATGTACAAAGTAGTTGTGCTGCTATGAACGGTTTTTACTAACATATGTCAACGGTGTAAAATTGTGCTTAGGCATTTAGATTTGTTTTACCCTTAGGTGTGAAGGGGTTAAAGTCAACACAAACCAAAAGTCTGGTAACATAGAACACAAAAGAAAAGCAGTACTTTGTGCTCAAAGGGGTGGCTCATTTTCATCACAGAAAGTTGGGAGGTGTGCAGATTACACCCATTCTTCTCCTCTACTCCTGGGTGACCCATATTTTGTAAGACCATCTTGCTCTGCTGTTAAGTGACAAATGCAAATTTGGTGTGTCAAATTTGCTTGCTGTCTCTAAATGCTAAGGTACACATCTTCCAAAAACAGCATTTTTATCTATACTTTTTTTTTTTTTTTTTTTTTTTAAATTTAACACTTTTCATTGTTTTTATGGGTCCATGCACATAGTGTGTAAAGATCAGTAAACATGCAATGCTTTCAGATCTATGAACTCAAAATAGAAAAATCTGCATCCAAGACAGTAATTTATGTGTACACATTAATGCATGTACATGAGTTTGCACGTAGTCAACCAAACGGAAGTAGAATTTTATGTATCCAAACACTGTATGGGCATTAACGCATGTAAACCCAGAACTTTATGGACTCCCTTGTATATGATCATTACACAGTATGCCATTTCTTATGCTGGGTTAGTACTCCGTATCTGTTCTGTTTATGTATGAACACTGCACATTAGCATTTCTCCTATATGCCAGTCTCAGTTCCCAGTGTTAATTCTTATTCTCTATGCATAAACTCTGTACAGTAGCACATCTGTTAATTTGTATGGGGGGTGTAATCCTCAATATCTGTTTTTATTCTGTATGTATCAACACTACACAGTAGCAGGTCTATATGTGCTGGGTGTAATTTTAGTAGCTGTTCTTATTCTGTATGTGTGGACTATGTACTTCTTATTCTGTATACTGGGTGTTTTTTTCAGTCTTCTCATTCTGTATGTATGGCCTGCAGTGTCAATCCTATTATGTATGCTGGGTGGAATTTTGAGTATATGTTCTTTGTGCCTGGATGCTGCACAGTATCTTTTTCTTTCCTCTATACTGAGTGTAATTCTCTGTATCTATTCTTATTCTGTGTATATGGTTGCTGCACAATAAAATTTGTTTTGTTGTGTATGTTCGGTGTTATCCGTATCTGTTCTTATTCTGTATGTACGAACTCTGCACAATGGCACTTCACACCCAGTTTTTGCAGCATTGTGTGCCACTTCCTTATCACCCTTTAAATGGTTCTCTCAAGTTGACACTGGATCTATATTATGGTCACATTGATAATTTGGGATGAATGTTACAATGGTAGGTGACCCACCAGCTCAGAGTACACAGGACAAATGCAGACGTGGAAAATAAAATGTGAAAGTGTTTTAGTGGACCTTGCCTTAAAATTCCAAAGTCCACTTATTTACCCAGGGTCCTGTCCTCCATGGCTAAAAAACCTGTGACTAAAATAGATAATACATTTGCCTTTCCCCACACGTCTGGTTGTGGATCACCAGTTTTTGTTTTTTGCTGGGTTCCCAGATTTGTGATTCAGTAGAGTCTGTTAAATTTGTTTTAATATTGTATGGCTGACTACCTGCCTGCCTCCCACCATGGATCGGGCCCAGCACTATCAAGATATACCCAGAGATATAAATACCGGTATATCGCAGGTCCCAGGAGCTAAACTTGTGTATTTATATATTATCCCAGGTATTTATAGTACCAACAGTTTACTCAGCACTTTACATTCTATTTATTCACATCTGTCCCTCCCTTCAGGGAGCTCACATTCCAAGGTCCCAATCTCACATACACAGATACTAAGTGAAAATTTAGACAGGAGGCAATTGATATACCCGCATGGGAGAAATCCATAGGAAAACTAAGTAAGCACGAGAAACATGCAAACTTCATGCAGATAGTGTCCTGACAGGATTCAAACTGAGGACCCCTCTGCTGCAAGGGGCAGCAGCTGGATGTTTGCTAGTATGATTGCTGTGTTTACTTCAAAGCTATCAAAAGGGACAGGGCCACTCATATTATGGCAGCACGATCATCTGTATTTTGAGTGCTCTTGCATTGCTCACAGGCGTAACAACCCTGACTAAAAGATGCACTAATTTGCAGTTGACTGAATTACAATGACCAGTCATAAGGGGTTAAAAATGTTTTGGGTGTATGTGTTCTTGACAATTACTTATATGATCTGTTGGGGAGTGTTGTCATATTCTGGTGATTTTTTGTTTTCAAGATCTACTGTTATGGAGCGGCACAGTGGCTTAGTGGTTAGCACGTCTGCCTTGCAGTAAATGGATCATGGGTTCGATTCCCAACCATGGCGCCTCCTGCATGGAGTTTGCATGTTCTCCCTGTGCTTGCATGAGTTTCCTCCCGGGTGCTCCGGTTTCCTCTCACACTCCAAAGACATGCTGGTAGGTTAATTGGATCCTGTCTAAATTGGCCCTAATATATGTGTGTATGAATGTGAGTTAGGGACCTTAGCTTGTACACCCCTTGAGGGTAAGGGACTGATGTGAATGTACAATATATATGTGTAAAGCACTGCGTAAATTGACAGCGCTATATAAGTACCTGAAATAAATAAAGTCATACCGGCTGGGCCCAAGGAAAAAGTACTTGCTGTGACTATTTATGCAGCCAGTAATGCAAGGGAATTACCTTTCTATGGATTGCATGTCATCAGAGTTTTCTGGGATTTGTATTTACTAGTTCTCATTATTATCCTTCATATGTAGGAATAACCATGCAGGACAGCATCAGATTTGCTTCAGCTGGTGATGATATTAAAATATGGGACTCTTCATCCATGACTGTGGTAGAGCAATTCAATCCCCACAGCACATCACATCCTGTATCTTCGTTGTGTTGGAGCAGAAACAGTATCCTTTGACATGTGCAGGCTGGTACTCTTTCTGGTGGCTCATTTGTTTTTCTTTAAAATGTAAGCATGCTCTTTTGATCTGCCATGCAAAGCACATTATGCTTGTTTTACAATGTCTGAATATGGTTGTTATATTTGTAGCTTTATGTGTGTTCCTTTTTTAAACCAATTATGTTGTTAACACACAATGCAGTTAAGCTTTATCCAGTCACTGTTTTATTTGGTGGCTGTTAACTAGGTTCCGTGTGTAGGTGAATATACTCCAATCATTATACAGTAAGAGTATTCACATATACGCAGCTAGATCTGAGAATTCTTGAACAAAAGTAGTAGTTCAATCTGCAGTATACCTTTCATTGTTCCATGATATATACAAACTACACATTAAAAAGTATTTACAACGCAATGTACATTATAATTTTTGCATTCAGGAGAGGGGATTTTACTGCCTCTAAACCAGTGGTTCTTAACCTTGTTGGAGGTACTGAACCCCACCAGTTTCATATGCGCATTCACCGAACCCTTCTTAATTGGAAAAATAAAATATGATTTTTAAAATTCAAAACATAGGTATATATTTATACATAGGTGCACAAAATGAACAAAACCGTTAAGAACAAAGAACAAAACCATTAAAACATGATTTTCACACAAAAAAAAAACATAATAATGAATATTTACTGCACGAATCATATGAGTCGGGTGTGGGTCTTCACCTCTGCCGAACCTTCGAGACTGACTCACTGAACCCCTGGGGTTCGATCGAACCCAGGTTAAGAACCACTGTTTTATAGTAATTCATCCCCCCTATAGTAATTCATCCCCCCTATAGTAGTAATTCATCCCCCCCCCCTATCATCCCCCATAGTAATTCATCCCCCATATAGTAATTCATCCCCCATAGTAATTCAGTCATCCCCCATATAGTAGTAGTAAGTAAGTAGCAAGTAGTAAGCCAAGTCCCCCCTGTGTCAATTCACTTACCTTTGCTCCGCACGTTCCTCTCGCCGTATTCCCGCGCCGTTCCGGTCTTCAGGGCGGACTGTGAGAGCAGCCTAGCTCCTCTCACGTTCGTCACGCTGCCCCGCCTACACACATCCTGACAGCCAATCACTGGCTATCAGGATGTGAGTGGCAGCGAGACTGGCCAATCATTGCATTTGAGCGCGCTGCCCTGGCTGTTTTTTTTTTTTTTTTGGATCACGCTGCAGAGTCCCTGCCGCCCGAGAGGAGGGAGGGGAGCGGGCACCCGGCACACAAGAGCCGCATTAAAGCGTGTAAAGAGCCGCATTTGGCTCGCGAGCCGCGGCTTGCCGACCACTGGGCTAAGCGATGTTGCGTGACCACCTGCAGCCAATGATGGACAAGCGGGGCATGTCATCACGAATCATATGAGTCGGGTGTGGGGGGTCTTCACCTCCGCCGAACCCGCGAGACTGACTCACACGAACCCCTGGGGTTCGATCGAACCCAGGTTAAGAACCACTGCTCTAAACTCTGGTAAACCGTGTCAAACTACTGTACATACATTGTATTATCCATAGATAACGCCTAAGCCTTTACAAAATTACCACTTTAGATTTACACATGAGATTTGGTGTTATTGTTTTCGATCTGACGTTTCGAGATTATACCTTGTGTGGTGCGATTTCTGTTTATCCACTGAAGCGTGCATGCACCTTTGCGCACGAGCACAGAGGGGCGCTTTAAAAAAATGTGGTTTTATAATTTTTTTTATCGGCTTTATTGCGATTACAAGGGATGAACAACATCTCTTGTAAAAACATGGGCAGTGACAGGTACTATTAGACCTAGATCTCTCCTCTGCCCTTAAAAGCGCCAGATCAACAAGGCCGGTATGATCTGATACTTTTTTGCAAACTGGTGAAAACTGGAAGTGACAAAATACTTGTTGCTTTTGGTTTCTTAGACCATAGAGATGATTGGGGCTGTTCCGGTCCCTAATCAGCCTTATGGCCAGCTGTCACAACTGCCAGCTTCAGTCCTGGGTTCCTTGGTGGGATATGAGAGCCTGGGAAGGTGACAGAACCCCCGCCCCCTTGCCGCTTGTAACCGCAATCCGCTATTAAAAAAAACATGCTCCGTCAGCTCTAACAAGAAAAATTCCAGTATGACCACTGAAACTCCTGCGACGTCGCGGGGTATGAAGTGGTTAAACACATTTCTGCATGCTAGGGATTATTGGCGTGATGTGGACCTCCGAAACTGTAAGGAGTGATTTATATCACAAAGGTTATCTGAGCCTTCTGCTATAAACTGCTTGATTGCTCCACACCACTGGACTGCCATTTAACTCTTTTGCTGCCAAGAATGTAAGACTTGTGATGAAGTATAGCCTCTTGCAGTTGGCCAGCTCAGTAAGTCTTGCATCGGCTGCTTTTCTTCTGCTATAAGTTCATGGTCACCGATTTGACCACGAGCTTATAACAGAATGGTCCCTGCACTCTGCTGCATAATGCGTAGCTGTGAACAGTGGCTGTTAAGCCACCCCTTGCCTTTCTGTGTGCCCACTAACACAGGCACTGTGGATCAGGCATTACTACAACTTTGGATGCACCGAAATTTTTGATGGCCGAAACGTTTCGGCTGAAAACTCCCCTATCGGCCGTTGGCCGATATGAAAAGAAGAACAGATATAGGTGCTGAAAATAACCCCGCCACTCACTGCCGCTCGGTAGTTTTGGTCTTATCTGAGAAACCACCGAACGATCCCAGCGCTGGGCATAGAGATAAGTGAAGGAAAGATGGCCTCCACTCGTCTATATGCCCTGGAGAACTGGAGCAATGTCCCTTCCGGTTCCGGACATTTTTTTTTTTTTTTTTTTTATATATAGGGACAGTGTAAAAAGAAAAAAGTTGAAGTTCCCTCCCCGTAAACGGTATTCAAACCACATATGAGGTATCGCCATGAACGGCAGAGCAAGAGCAATAATTCTTGGAATAGACCTCCTCTGTAACTTTACTCTGGTAACCTGCAGAAATTTACTCGTGAAGATCAAGTACCGTAGTTTTTGATGCCATTCCACGAGCGTGCACAATTTTAAAGCATGAGATGTTGGGTATCTATTTACACAGCTTAACATCATCTCTCATGTGTATATATTGTGGGTGTTTTTTTTATATATATATATATATATATATATATATATATATATATATATATATATTATCTTTTTTTTTAATTTGCGTTTGAAAAATATATATTAATTTTTAAAAATTGTCAATTTTTGGCAAAGTGCATCCTAAATTTTCGGTTTCGGAACCAGAATTTTCATTTCGGTGCACCACTAACTACAACCCATTGATATGAAGCCATCCTCTCTCTCGATTTTAGCTTGTTGCTTAGTTAGTTTTAATTTTTAGCATTTCACGAAAGGGCATAGTTTAAAACTTACACATGCCATAGTCACAGCATACGCTTTAATTTTATAACAATCATTATTAATATTGACAATCCAAAAAATACTTACTTGGAAATCTTTCATGTTGTGAGTGTAGCAATCATGCCACAGAGATGGACGCGGTTCAGCCATTTTGGCTCCAACCACCATCTTGGCAAAGGATCATCCATCTTGTACAAACTTATCTCCCCTCATTCTCCCTCTCCCTTTTTGAGAGTCACAGTGACATATGGTCGGTGTGTGCGTTGGAAGTGTCACAGGCCTGCCGGGGCACAGCAGTGGCTCCGAGCTATAAACCATCTTTGAGCTGGGTGCCGGGCGGGCTGGGAAGCTGAGCAATCTGGCACCTCGTAAAAAGATAACCCAAGCCTTCTCCTGAGTTCAAAGACATTCCAGAGGAGTAAGAGACTAGATAACACTTAAAATCCATGTTTCCCCTATGTCTCATATCTTGGAATATGAGACTTGCATAAAAACCAGGCCTATCTTCAGATGGCCCACGATTAGACAAATCGTTTGATAGGTCACACTCCCTGACTGGAATACCTGGGAAAGCAGAAAATTACATCTCTTGAAGCCATTCATGACGGTTAAAACGATTGCTTATAACCGTGATCATCACTGTTATAAGCAATAACAGTGGAAAAAAAAATTTGCTGCTTGCTGCTTACCCCTCCCCCCCCCCCCCCCCCCCCCCCCCCCATTCCCAGAGTAGTTCAGTGTCGCTATGAACTACTTTGCTGACAGCATGTTTAAAAAAAAAAAAAAAAAATATATATATATATATTAGTAGATTTATACTGGCCTCAAAACGCTACTTACAACCTGATCATCACACCAACCTGTCTTGTGGATAGGTAGAATAAACGCAGTAAAAAGGACCGGTCCAAACTTTTGTACTTATTACGCACTTTCCTGGGCCCCAATCCCCTCTTACGCCCTGAAATCTTTTCAAAATCATGTTTTACGCTTTATCTGGGCCAAAAAAGATCTTGGGTCACTAAACATACTATGCTCACACACTGGAAGCAGGGAGGCTTGGGGGTTCCTAACTTCTCAAAGAACTACGTGGCGGCTCAAATCGCACCTTTAACCTCATTGTATGCAGTACAACAAGCCCCCATATGGGTAACTTTAGAAGTGCTCTCCTGCCACCCGATCTCCCTTTCTTTGCTTTTATGGCTCCCCCCGAAATCAAGACCCACATCTATCAGTCCCCTTATGGCCCACTCATTGCGTATATGGGACTCCACAAAATACACCAGTGGCCTAATCTCCCTTCGCCTACCACTCCTCCCCCTTGTGGGCAATCCTCTGTTTCCACCTGGCCTTGAATCCCTTACCGCTTTCCATTGGTAGATTTCTCACAACTTCCAATGTATCCACTCCTTTCTCACAGACCGCTCAGTTTACACTTGGGCAGAAATAAGGGACAAACCTCAAGCCCCCTCTACAGAACTTTTTTCTATATCTACAGATCAAACATTCGGTCCTTGCCAATAAAGACCCGACCACATAATTATCCTTGTTTGAACACATCTGCCAGTGGACGCCCCTCTCTCCTAAACGTCTCTTT